TATTAATTTCAATGAAAATTTACAGAGACTTTTGATTTCAATTCATTCTTGGCTGCACTTTTCTCCCTGCCCACTCCTCCCCCCCAGTACACTCTTCTCTTTGAAAAGGAAAAGAAAAATTCTTTCATTGTTTTACAATCCTTCCCACCAGGTCCACTACACTATGCAGCCTTCGCTCTGGACTCCAGTCATGACAAAATATCTAATCATGTATTAAACAGTTTTCTCCCTCATCTGTTTCAATGCAGTATACATTATTTATCCCATCTTTCTCAGTCTCCCTCCAACCCCGAGGTCAGTCCTGTTGTACAACAGTGGTACTATGCAGTATTTTTCCTTTTGTAACTGAGATACTTCACTCAGCATAATGTCCAGGGTCATACATTTTGAATAATATTGTATGAGCTCCTTGTTTTTTAATGCAGTGTAGTATTCCATTGTGTGAATATACCACAGCTTCTCTATCCATTCATTTGTTGATGGACACTTGGGTTGTTTCCAACTCTTTGCTATTGTGAACAAAGCCGCAATAAACAATGGGTGTGTATATATCTGCTTGGGTGGCAGTTATGGTCTCTTTGGGGGTATAACTTCTGACTTCTTGACTCTGGGGTATTCACTGGGTCTGCAATATTCTCCGATTTTTTTTGGAGAAGGCGTAATTTGTTTTCTCACAGTATTTGAAGCTGCCTGCTGCTTTCTTGACATGTGAAGATTTTCTTGATAAGAGTTAGGTCATTTCTCAATTAAAACAGACATTCGGAGGAGGGGAAGAAGAACGAACTGGGGAGGAGGGTAGAGAAAACAGTGCAACAATGAATGAATGAAAACCCAAAATCTCTGTAAATGTTCATTAAAACTAATAAAATTTAATAATAATTAAAAAAAGAGGTCATTTCTATTGTAGCTGCATAAGTTATTGGTAGTTCTTATCTATATAATGTTACTGATTAGCTGCCAGCTTAAAATGTTAAATCTATGGGGTGAGCCACTCACAATCCTGAAAATCCTTTTTGGGAAAATTTGCTTTTATTAAACTCATTCAGTTTCTCCTGGTCTGCAATGCTGCCCTGTAGGAATCTCACTTTACTGTATGTAGTTCCCTCTCTAAATTCTATTATCCTTCTTCATCTATGGAGTGGCTGAGTGATGTAAGACCAGGTGCTCCATTTGAGTAGTTTCTGTCTGGGGGTGGTTCAAGTCAGCTTTTTCTCAAAGCTCAATGTGCCAGCTGAGAAAGTCTTTCCCCTGTTTTTAGGTCTTATCCTGCCTGGCAACTGGAATGGCCCCATAATGGCAAAGGCAAGGAACCCCAAATGGAAGAACCCTTTCTCCTGGGGTAATTCAGTCCCTTCTCTCCCTTGTTTGCAGCTGAAAGTGCTGACTCTGGGGCAGAGTGTTTCCCCTGATGGCGCCTTCTCTCCTGAAACTTAATGCCTCCCATTGTCTCTGGAGTGGTGCAAGATTAGAGGTGCCAACTTAAGCAGTTTATGTGTGGAGAGTTTCAGATCAGCCTTCTTTCTTGCAGAAAGCTGAGAAAGTTCTTCCCATACTTGTAGCTCTCTGTCCCAAACTCTCTTGTGCTGTTTGGCACCTGGGATGGTCCCACAGCAGTGGATGCAAAGATCTCCAAATTGAAGGACTTTTCCCAATAGGAGTTTCATTCCCTTCTCTCCTCTGAATGCACCTGAAAAGTGCTGGATCTAGGAAAGAATGTCTCATATGAGGACACCCTGTAAAGTTATTTTTACAAGTTGTTGCTATGTGCCATTGAGTCAACTATGACTCATACCGGCCCTCTGAACAATAGCTTCCAACCTTGCCCTATCTTGAGCCAATCTCATTGCCTTTGACACATCTGTCCCTACTGCCACAGTTACTTCTTTGTCAATCCACCTCATCTAGGGTTTTCCTCTCCTGTGCTAATCTTCCACCCTTCAAAGTATGATGTTCTTTTCCAAGGACTGGTTCCTCCTGGCAACATGCCCAAAATATGTGAGATAGATATGCAAAAGATGAAGTTCCTAAAAGTTCTAGCTTAAAGTATATTTTTCTTTTCTAATACTGTTTAGTTCCTTTCCCATAAAGTAGGAACAAATTTCATTGATAACAACAGTATAACTATTTCCCCATTGCCTCTACTCAATGAACATTATCAACCTTCTAAATGTCTACTACTCTGATAAGTAAACTTTTTTTAAATTTAAAAACTGGTATATTTTCACATATGTATTTTTAAATAAGTATCATCTTCTAAGGTACATATGGCCTTTAGAGTATATGTTGTTGTTTTGTACTGTTAAGTAGATTACAACCCACAGTGACCATGTCTTTTAAATACTCATAACACCTTTTTTATTTCATAACACCTTTTAAAATACATATCTTATCTTACATTTTCAATTAATGATATTGGTTTTTTTAAAAAATTACCTGTCTATACAGCTCTTTTGTTTTTGAAATATCTTTTTAATTACCAAGATTAACACATTTCCTAAATTACATTTGTGGTCTATGTTTCTCCCTATCAAATTCTAGATTTATGGTGTTTCATCTACTTTTTGCTGTACTGAAATGTTTAATTTTAATATGATTTAATTATTCCATTATAGCTTCTACATTGATGCTATGGTTAGAAAGATCTTCACCTGTCATGTATTAAATTTTGTCTCCCAAAATACGTGTCATCTTGGCTAGGCCAAAAGTGATTTTTTTCGGTTATGTAACAATAAAATTATTCCCCATAATGTGACCTGATGTGATCATTCAATCATGTGTGAAGTGATTAGGGCGGGATTCAACACCTTTACTCAGGGCAAAATTTTGATCAGATATTAAAAATTACTTCCCTGTGGTATGGTCTGTATCACTTTGATCTAAGAGATAAAAGGAAAGAGAAATAAGCAGAGAAAAAATGACCACACTATCACCAAGAAAGAAGAGGCAGGAGTGAAGTGTGTTCTTTGGGCCCAGAGTCCCTGCACTGAAAATCTCTGACTCGGGAAGATTAACACTAAAATACATGTTGATCTCCAAGGAACGCTGGGCCCACAGATATTATAAAGAGACTAACAGCCTCCTCTGATTCCTTTCCATAGAGCCAGTCTTCTGAACTTAAAATTATACTCTCTGTACTTGTTGTTGTTGTTGTGTAACACAGAGCCAGAACAGAACCATAGCTGAACCTCCAGCGGGTTTTCAGAGGCAATTAATTGCATGGGAGGAGAATGCTCATCCTTCTCCCACAGAGCAGCTGGTGGATTTTAACAGCATGTTTCCAGGATTGCAATGGAGCTTCTTGCCACCAAGCCACTAGAGTTTGCTAAAAAGTTATCTACTTGGGACACTTCAGTTACAGGAGCTCCAGAACTCTGGAGGCTTAGTGCTAAGGCAACTCAAAGGCATGCAGTTCAAATCTACCAGTTGCTCAAGAGAAAGATGGGCAATCACCTCTGTGAGATTTACAGCTCTGGAACCTGCTGGAGTGTCCCTATGAGTCAATTCCGAATTGATGGTATATTAACATATATAAAGAGAACTAAAATATCATATCTCTCTCTTTTTTAAGATATTCTCTCTTAAGAATATACAAATAGCCACATAATTTTTTCTTTGTGTAATTTTATGTTTATCTTTTATTTTAATATCTAAATCTTTTACACCAGATAAGTCGAAGATTTAGATCTAGCCTCTCCCTCAATCTCCTACATAGTGGACAAGTTTATGAAATTGCTTTTACTTGCTCATCTTTTTAAAAAACCACACAATTCTAATTCACTGATAAATTTGGCTGGCTTGTAAAAGTTTTTATAATAGAAAACCCTTAAATTTTTAAACAGAAGAAAAAAGGATGAAATTGGGATGTTGAAACATTACTCTGGTATGGGGCCTAATTCGGAGGTAAAAAGAAATGATAAAAGTTGCAAGAATTCAGTTGTGAACTACAGACAAGTGGAAATCATGACACAAAACCCTGATAGGTCTACAGGCCAAAAAATAGAAGACAGTGTTTGACAGAAGAGGAGGCACTGCCACCTCTGGGCAAAATTTGAATTCTTTGTCACTGACCGTATTCTTATAATGCATCCCAGAGCCCCTGGGACCTTGCCAAACTGATTAGTGGAGATCGAACCTGAATTATTTCCTAGTGACAGGGACTTCAACTTTTTTCTATCTTCATGAGATTGTCCTCACCTCTCGCCTCCTCCCTCCTTTTCACCGTACCTACAACCTTTTCACCGTACCTACAACCATTCTCCTTACAATAATACTGTTTTAGCAACATACAAACAGTTGTGGGTAATTTTAAGTCATACATAGTGCACATTCCATTTTGTGTTGTGCTTTATATTCCATGTTATCTTCCAACCCGTTTACTGCCTTCTGCCTCCACCTTCTTCATATTATTTTAGTAGACTTTCTAACAATTCTAACTACCTGTTTGTCATAGTTCCTTCTCTACACCCACAATCTTCCAATATTCTAGTAAGAGATTTCAAAATTAAAATTAATTGATTTCTTCTTCTCTAAACTTTGCCAGTCAAATTTCTCATTCCACTGGGGCACCTCAGCTAGGTGTTAGGACAACAATTAGCACCTTCTTACATAATCCTTCTGATTATTTGCTTATTAACTCAAAAGCATCTCTGATTCCTTCAGAGAACTGAAGTAATCTCACGAGGAGAAAATTCAAGCAGTTAGAAAATGAAACAATTTAGTTTGGCAATATTGCTCAGTATAAAGTTCTTTTTGTTTGATGTAGAGTCTTCAGAATTTCTTATATCACTCTTGCTCATTTCTCCCCACTTTCTACAAGCATGTTACTTCCACACTGCCTCTAGCAGCTAAACCAATTCAGGATCTAGATATTTTCCTAATAATATTTATTTTCCTCGTAATCACAATTGTCTATTTTGTGTTCTGCTCCCTCAGTGCTTAGCTAAGAGTAAGATAAATTTAAAACAGAAAAATGTGCTAATTATTTGTTACTCGTTCCAAGAAAGATACTATGATAACATTTTCATAGTAGAGTACATTCATATTGCTATATTAACTGTATTGTTGAACCTCTAAATAAGTGATAATATTTAACTTATAATATATTTATAATATTATAAGTTATATAGTAATTAATTACTGTATATAAACAAACTAAAAAATACAAATTAAAAAGTATATATATAGCTTGGAAGATTAGTCTTTCAGCCTTGTTATGTGGTTTTTTTTTTTTAAATCACCCATGCGCGCGCGCACACACAGACACACAGACACACAGACACACAGACACACACAGTTGCCTAGATTAAAAAAAAGCAGGCCATTTAACCTTTCATTAAAATAGAGGTAGAATGGGGGGAT